TCAGTTGGGTAAGCAATCGACACGAATGCGACTCCAGTTACACGCCATATAAAGTCAAGATTTCGCAGGCATGTCACAAAAAAGATGTCATCGAGGGACCAAAGTGAAATCCCGTTCCCGCTGTCTTGATTTGCTAGGCAAGGAACATTGGGGCCTCGGATGAGGATGCGTGCCACATGTTCTGCCACATGATGTCAACAGGCACCGACATGAAGCAGGAGCAAGACGGTGACGCTGTCATGTCACCGTCGAGGTCACCTTCAAGTCGATTTGTCTTCCTGACCCAAATGTGACGTCGAGTATTTTGGAATGTTTTGATTATTTGGAGTTACGCTCGCTCTGGCACTCATTCAAGGCTGCAACATTTTGACCGGTGCCGCTCCCAACAGCGTATTTCTTTCCGTAATATCATGTTACAAATCATCACGATCGCTTTGCTCCTGTCATTGTAAAATGAGAATTTCGCAGCCTTTCATCTGGAGGACGGTGGTGCAAATGGAAACAAAATGACTCCTACCGCAGCGTCATATAAGAGCAGGGAAGATTGGGCACGAAAATCCTTGAAAAACCATCAGCTCGTCATGCTCTCGATACAGTGTTAGCCGGCGGGGGAGGGGTTGCTTTCGCTGTAAAAACATCAAGCGCAATTTGTCTCCTGGCAGGAACGGAGGGCAGAAATTGCACGGCTTGACCTTATTTATGCGAGGAATTCTCGGTACCCAGCAGTCTTTTCCCTCCATTAGCTATCGAGTGAGCTTCGACGAGGCCGTTAGCCGCGCTCCGTGATGACTCAAATTACAGGTTGCGGAGGAAAACGCTGCCGATTATTGGTCGATTTCGATTTGCCTGAAGCCAAGTTGGTTGTAACAGCTATCGCGGCACGTTTTCCCGCGATGACATCATTCACATTGGAGTTGTGAGCCTGCTGTGCAGATCTCCCTGTCAGGGCAGGACTTTTTTTCTTTTTCCAGCCCGTCACACAAATACTCGCATCAGAGTTGCAGTAAGAACTGTTTGCCTTTTACATACGGAGAGTGTAGAAAGAAAGGATGAGCAGATTGTTCAGCGGGAGCGGAGGGGGTGAGCTGGCGCCCCGGCCGGGTGGCTCATCATCATTTGGCGCCCTGGCGCTAGCGCTCCGCGGCACCTGGCCATGCTCGCCCGCGCAAGAAGCTTGAGGTCACCACTCCCCCTCCGCCACTACTTGCAGGGAATGCGGATGCACTCCGGCCGCGCGCCCCCGCACACGAGTCAAGAAAGGCAGAGGAAAGAATCCACACGAGAAAGAATTGGGGGATTTTGACAGAATGTCAAGCCGCCGTGGGCCTCGGTCCTTGAGCAAGAGAAGTGCAGGACGATAGCTTGCAAATAACCGGTGAAGGCTGAGGGTTTTGGGGGGGGTTGGGTTCGTCATGACGGATAGGGCTGAAAGGTTAGGGAAAGGGATGGAGGTAGGCATCGGGGTTAGTTTTAGGGATCGGGATAAGCTGAAGAATAGCGAGAGAGTTCAGGTTTGGATTTGGACTGGAGGGACGCAGCTAACTTTGGGTTGAGGCTGAGAGTGACATTAGGTTTGGAGCTTCGTGATCGCGATCCAGTTTGAGCTCGTACTGCGGCGTGTATAACTTCAGGATGGTCATCGAGTTAGCGGTTAGTTTGAGAGGGGAGGCTGACCTTACGGTTCGGTTTCGGGGGTTACGCGCTGGGGGTCCCGACCCGGGATTCCGAGTTGCGGTTGGGGTTGCGATGAACATTGAGATCCGTGATGTTTCCAGAAGGTTGTCCAATGCGACACCTCACATTCCCCGGCCTTCCCCCGTTCTGAGCCTTGCGGTCAGTGCCTCTGACGCGTGCGGGCCCTCGTGCATTCGACTTTGAATCGACAAACTCTGGATGAGTGACTCCCGCCCACCCGTGCCCGGGTGGGATGCGGATGGCTCACGGACCCTACTGGCAATTACTAATTAGTTGGCGACCCTGTTTGGGGTTAGGTTTTGAGTTTGGGGAGGGAAGTAACGTCGGGTTTAGGGTCAGGGTGGCATTCGGCTAAGATTTAGAGGCTAAGGATAGGAGAAGAGGTAGGATCCAAGGTTGGTGTTGGGGATCGGAGTTGAGGCTTATGGATCGGGATCGAGGGGAGGCTCGGAGGTTACAGATGATGAAAGGGATAGGCCTTAAGTGAAGGGATTAAGGAGATTCAGCTCGTGTTACGAGTTTGGGAAGAGATGGAGGTTCACCTTGGGTGTCATGGGGCGGGTTTACATGACGTTCAGCTATGGGGGTCAGGGGTGAGGCCTGAGGAAGAGGAGTTGGCAATCATAGGCTTGTTTTAGCGACGCAATGAAGTCGACGGCTAGCGTGATGGGGCCAGTGAGCGGAACATGCCCCTCACCGGCGGCAAGTCTTCACTTCTCGACACACGCAAACACACCCACTGGGCCACGCCGCTGGAGATCCGCCCGCGTGGAGGTCGTCGGAGCACGTGCTTTGGGGAACATCCACTTCCTGCTCATCGATTGTGTCATCTCCCTCGGTGAATATTCAAGTTGTGGGAATTCCAGCGTTGAAGCCGCGCCATCACTTCAAGATTTGCGCCTTATGGAGTCAAGGCGGACTCCCGTTTCCTAAGCGCCTGCAACCGCTTGGCCGTCTCTTTTCTGATGGGGCTCCTTTCAAAGCCTGCCAACCCGTGACCCGGCCGCCTGCCAGCTCTTCGGCATCTGGCTCGCTTCCAGCTCGCACGCGGCGCCGACCCTTGGAAAAGAATACCAGCACAAGAGGAAGAGGAGGCAGGCAAACGCACTCATGACAGAGCTCCCAAGATGCTAAAACGGGGACAGAATGACGGCCTCTTGGCAGCTCGGAGGTGATTTTGCGTGGCCGGCGGTCAGTCCCCAGTGGTTGAAAACAGACTCAAAGGTCTTCTTAAAATGCCTGCTTTCTTCTCTTCAACAAAGAGCAAGTTGAGAACACACGAACTCGATCCTTTCCGTTTGAGGGCCGCATTTCATGAAAATGCAAGGATGCAAGGGCCTCTTTGAAATTCTCCAACGCGCTCAAATCAGTCAAGCGAGCAAAGATGTATTTTCTAGTTACTTTGGAAACAGCGCAGCAACTTCGGGGGGGCCTCGCGGACAGTCGGCTCTCGTCAAACTCTTGCGACGACCCGCCTGACGCAAGGGCAGGTTGGCGACAACACATGACTGCAAAAGCATTCAAGTACACATCGCTCGTCTTATGTACTGAAGCGAGTCGCGACAATGCAGTTTTGTTCCGATAACTGGTGTTAACAATCTTACAAGTTGCGACTATCTGTGAGGCCATGTCTGACAACTGAAAAAAAAGATCAATGAAAAACATCATCGACATTCACCTTGGCGCCAGCCACAACAAATCTGAAGGCGTTCAACCCCAAGTTGCCAGAAGAGGTGGCCAATCGGTTGTTTTTTTTAGTCTCTGGACATTTTGCATCTCCTGGCTAAAAAACAAACAAACAAACCCCCCCAAAAAAACAAGTTTAGCCACTGTAACATTTGGCCAAGTTTGAAAATGTAATGGAGTGACTGCGCGAGGCCATACACATCCTGCCTCAGGCCAAAAGAGCAGTTTAAGCCCAAGGGACTCCCCCTGCACACAAGCCTGGGAGTTTATGCCACATTAAAGTAGCACCACACACTGTCCAGTATGAGGAGCTTTCTATTACGCAGGCCCAACCTCGAAGACACAAGAGAGGAAAATCAATAATGAGGCAGGAAAAGAAAACACCAAGGCTGAGACGTCGTCCAGCCCTCTTCACAGGAAGCCTCTTATTTTTTGCCCCGAGGAGCGAGTGCAAATTTGACTAAGCTCTGACGTACGAAAAGGCCTCATCAAGCCTTGGCATGCCTGCGTCTGCTTTCATTGTGGCAAATGTAACCAGAAGGCAACAATGTGACCAAATGCTTGTCTAATGAAAAGCATGTGCGACAGGTTTTTTTTTTTTTCATTGTTGATCAGAATTGGAGACATTTTTGACTGAAATGGATTAAAATAGACATTTTTAGTCCGAAAATGTCCTTTTCGGGGGTGTAAAGAGAAACACGAAACAAAATTTGAGGAGTCAACTATTCATGGACGATTATTGCCAATGCTCCATATTTCCAAGAATGATAAAAAAATGTGTGTACAGTAATCCCTCATTTATCGTGGTTAATGGGGACCAAAACCACCCGCGATAAACGAAAATCCGCAAAGTAGCGACCACTAAACATATACAGGTAAAAAAAAAATATATATTTTTTTTTGTTTGTTTTTTTTAAGTCTGCAAAAAGTCCGCAAACAGTCCGGGAGAAGCTGCAAAACAGCAGCGAGTCACAGAGCAACATATACAGTACTGTACTCCATGTATATGAAAAAAAATATCGATATTTTCATGAATATGTTTGAAAAAAATCCGCGATGCACTGAAGCCACGATAATCGAACCGCGAAATAGCGAGGGATCACTGTATGTATACATATATTATCTCTCTCTGTCAACTTCACAGTGCAGAGGTCGTGGGTTCGATCCCGCCTTTGGCCTTCCTGTGTGGAGTTTGCACGTTCTCCCCGGGCGTGCGTGGGGTTTCTCCGGGTACTCCCATTTCCTCCCACATTCCAAGAGCATGCATGGCAGGCTGATTGAACACTCTAAATTGTCCCTAGATGTGAGTGTGAGCGCGGATGGTTGTACATCTCTGTGTGCCTGGCGACTGGCTGGCAACCGGTTCAGGGTGTCCCCCGCCAACTGCCCGAAGACGGCTGGGCTAGGCTCCAGCACCCCACCGCGACCCTTGTGAGGACAAAGCGGATCGGAAAATGGATGGGGAAATTATATACATATATGTAGATGTAAATAGTGTATTGTTGATAACATACATATCCATAATGTATTTAATCATATTGAAATGAAATAGAGAAATTTAGTGCCAACATAGTTATTTCTGTGTTGCACATTTGACAATCAAAGCTGACTTGACTTCCCCTTTTCCCGTTTTCTTCTTTTCGTGAAAAGAGAATAGCTCACAAAATATGTTGATTCATGATTTCTGATGATCAAGAACTTTGCAGCGAAAACCAACGCGAGCGACAAGTCATGCGCATTTCTGACCACGATCTCGTTCCTTTTCCAAGTTCTTCCCACTGGAAAGTTGACTTTGAATGAAGTTTACGTGGTAATAACAGGCACGTCTGACCAATACATTCGTACAAACGCAGCGGTACAGGTGGTGAAGCCGTCCAAGTAAGAAGATTGATGAAGAAAGCGGTAAATGTCGCCATGTCCTACCAGGTATGAAGCGGGAGCTGACAGCGGGCCGCCCGGGTTTCACGTAGCCGCCAGTCGAGCGTTGCGGGGCGGGCTTCAGTGCGGAGGTCGCTCCGGTCCGGTGTCGCCCGCCTGCTGCGGCTGTTGAAGGGGGAGGGAAAAAAAACACGTCGCTCCAAGTGAGTGAGTGTGTGCTGGACAAAAGTTGCCGGCTACTTTTTTTTTTCTTACTACTCCGGAAGTGAGTCACAAGAGCCCGCCCCCTTCTCTCTGTCACTCACTCTCCAAATAAGGAAGAGCCCCCCCACACCCTCTTGATCCTTCTTTTCTCCTCCAATTGTGAAGAGCAACTGACGCGTCTCGTTGGTTGCTCTTTTTGTGTTACACATCCCTGATTATTTACAATGTGAAAAGAAGTCGGAAGAAGTAGAAATTTATTGTGTATGTCCTGTCCCCATTATCGCTGTTTCACTTTTCATACATTAACAGTCTTTCTAATTGTTCAGCTCTGCTGTCTAAACAGAAACAAAAAGAATGGCGTCGATCTCATGGAGCGATCACAAATGCCAATTCTGGATGTTGGCGGCTTCGCGTGCACGCCGCGTGCGTCTTTTCTTTTTATCCATAAAATATGTATGACCTGGATTATTTCTTTCCAAACGGTGACGACGGACCTCTGGCGCCGTGTTTCACTTTTCTCCTGATGCAATCAGGGAGTCGAGCGGGCCTGCTCTTGTGTCCTCCGGGCACAAGGAAAGCTGCATGATGCTCATTTGACTCATTACACCGGGAGGGTGCTGACAGAAGCCGCACCCCATTTGACAACATTGCTGCACCGTCAGTCATAAACTGTAATGAGCATCAGGACCCCCAAGCAGTCAACTAATGGACCAAGGTGACTGTTAAAAGCGGTACATCGGTAACACCAAGGTCCAACTTGTGACACTCTGCCTCCCTTTTGCGGCCGTACAACAAAACGTCCTTTCTGGAGATATGTCATCAAAACACCAGGATGTGACTTTTATTGCCAACTTTTCTCGCGCTTGATGCCGATGCCACCCATGACGTCTCCGCCATCATGGTTCTATATACACTTTCAGAACTCAAGCCGAGAAAACGAGCAGTATATTTGTGCTTAATTGTCAACAATTTCGGCTTTACAAGATTTTGTGGTGTGAGATGTGCTCTCCCTCTCGCTCTCTCCCTCTTTTCCTCTCTCTGTGAAAATCCCACCCAGGGTATGCGCCGGCCGGAGCAGACGGCCAATGAACTCCGCCACAAGTGTGTGAGTTGCTTTTAAAAGACCACAGTGTAAATATACTCCAAATTCAAAGCTGCACTATGGTTGTGGCTCTTCAAGTCATGCCATGTCATGGTGTATTTGTTTTTTGGGGGTGAATTGTACATGAAAGGCAGCTGTTTTTTTGTTTTTGTTTATTTATTTTTTTTCCAACAGCCCCCTAACCCTGCTAATAGAAACGTGCGTCGCTGGCTATGACGCAAATATTTGTTGACGAAATGTTGACATTTAATATTTATTCGACACATTTTTACAGCATCGGAAAACGTTCATCATGTTTGTGTCATGTTTGTCCTCTGACAGAAACCATATTCAAACAAAACAATATGTTTCCCTCCCATCTTTTTCCATTTTCAAACGTTTTTGAAAAAGCTCTAGGGAGCCACTGGGGGGGGCGCTAAAGAGGAAGAGCCGAGTGTTGCCGACCCCCCAGCCGACCCCCCCAGCTCCGCACTTCAGGGCAGCCGCCCTGAAGTGCGGAGCTGGATCTTTGCTGTGAGATAGAAGCCTGTTGGCCACCCCAAATAAAATCTTAAAGTACTTGCCTCAACACCTTTAACAGAAAGCTGATGAAATGAACGAGACAACACAAACAATATAGAACTGCTTTCTTGACCAACTTTAGCATGTTTCCAAAAGTTGACGAATTTTAAAGTGGCCCTTTCATCCCTCCATTTTTCCGTATGCGGCCCGCAAACGAAAACGTTTGGCTACCTCTGGACTAAAATGTCACTGTACATACTGTCACTAGTTAAAGATTAGCTATAGGTGTTTGTTGTTGTTGTTGTTGTTTTATGTTACATTCTACATTCTGTTATATCCTTGCATGACCATTGCGAACATTAAAAAAAAAAAAAAAAGTGGGTATTCAAAATGGCGTCAATTCAAACTCAGAAGAGGCACACAACGCCCCAGGCCTCACGTTGTATAATGATCTTATACACCAGAGATGCCCAAGTCTGGTCCTGGAGAGCACCTACCAAGCCCGGTTTAGGTGTCTCCCTGATTCAAATGATCAGCTCATCAGCACTCTAACTCCAATCCAATTTTTGGCTCCCGTGCCCATCTCTGGCGATATTGCTCAGTGCTCTTGATTGAAGACAGAAATGTGACTCGCGAGACATACTTTGCCTACGCATGCAGTAAACGTGCAAATCGCTGTAACACAAAAAGCCTGGCTTCATACATTTAAAAGTGGGGCTGAAACGTACACGAAAGGATTCGGGAAGGTCATTAAGCGGCGGTGCTGATGATAAACAAAACATGCGACATCATGTGGAAACACTGAACCCATTCACGGGGCTCATCAGCCGCAAACATTCTGCATGCTGGGCAAATCTCACACATGTAACAGACATTCCTCGCGGTTGTTGTGAGATGCCATTTGGGGAGGCGGGGGGGGGGGGGGGGGCTGACTTTGATGGGGTATCCTGGGGGTCCGTGCGGAGGTGGGAGTTTTGGGTGAGATGAGCTCACTGGTATCGCTCAATGAGTTATTATGAATAATAATCATCCTACATTTTCTGAATATAATTAACTTTTACATTTCTTCAATTGATAACACTAAAATGTAATTAAAATGACAAATAAGTGCAAGTTGTAAAATGTCCAAACTCCAGACAGCTGTCGTTGAAATGTGTCAAGGCAACCTAAAATATAACGTTTTATTCTTGACATGTTGGATCTGGATTTAGTCGTGAATACTGTCGTAATCATTTAAGTGTTGTCCAGGGTTGTTTCGAAGAAACTCGCGCAGAAATTTTAAATGGGCTTTTGAGCTAATTCAACTTGGGAGCACCAACAACAGAAACTTTCTTACAATATCAAAGGGAGGTTTTTCTTTTGTTGTTGTTGTCCTTCTTCTTTTTCTTTTTTACAGTAAGTCAAAATGATGTTTTTGTTGTATTTTTTTGAATGGCAACATTAAAAAAAATGCTAAAACGTTTTTTTAAACGAATTATTTGTAAAATATAATGACACAGACTGTAAATTGTATTGTTCATAGAATGGCATTTTGATGACGTTTTTAGTTCCCGCTCCCGAGCAAAGCAGGCCAAAACTGTGCACCAGCGACCTCTCTCGCCTCTAATGCAATATTACAACGTGAGCAAATATTGGCATCAGAGACTTTATTCCAAATTCTGCGCTGCTCTAAAAATTACATTAAAATAAATTTATTTATATGACGATTTTATACATCGCGTGACACTCGCGGCTAATAACGAAACGGTGTAAGAATCGTTTTATTTTTGTGGCGAATCTGCGAAAGGCTAAGGCGGAAACAGGAAACCATGTGTTCCTGCTGAAAGGGGAAACGAGTGGAAACGACGTGGGGTCTAGCTTCCCTTCGGATCGATATAAGTCTAAAATTGTACATTTGAAAAGGTTCGTGTTGCCCGAGCATCTGTTTTGGAACACTTCTCGGACATGTCGTCGTTCAGGAAAGCGCTGAAATCCCGGCAACGAAACCACCAAGAAAGATCTCAGGTGAGCTTTTTGGGGAGTTTTCGCCGACCTGTGAGCCGACTAAGCAGGCGGGGCGTACTGTACACAAGATGGTAAACACACAACAATAATAATGTAACAATATGATCGAAACTGAATACGTGACAGACCTCACACACGAAGAAGAGAAACGCCAATAACAATGCCACCCCACTAGCATATGAGGGGTTTCTTCACGTGCACAACTAAATGAACCCGTTGAACGTGTTTGCTTTTATCAGCCTGAATTTAGGAAGCATTTGGGCTTGCTGGAGAAGAAGAAAGACTACAAAAAGCGTGCCGAGTAAGTGAAGTCACAATGCCTGCAATTTGTACAGGCACAAACCTCCGATATTCATTCCACGTGTTGCTTTTGAACAGTGACTACCACAAGAAACAAAACACGCTCCTCGCTCTTCGCAAGAAGGCTTTGGAGAAGAATCCGGATGAGTTTTACTACCACATGATCAACTCGCAGCTGAAGGTAACACAGACGACAGATGTGTTCTTACCGTTTGGTAGCTCCTGTTAGGTTGAGCTGATCATGTGTGTCACGGACAGGATGGAGCCCACGTGAGCAAAAAGGGAAAAAAAGAAGAGGAGACGGAGGTGACAGAGGAGCAGAAGAAAGTGATGACCACGCAAGACATAAAATACGTCGAGATGAAGAGGCTTGCGGAAGTCAAGGTCAGTTCGCACATGGAAGACAACAGATGATGGAAGAGTGTGACGATAACCATTGAACAGGAAGTGGGAACTTATTGGAAAAGCCACAGATCAGTCATGAAACCAAATCTCAAAACAACCACCGCTGTATACAACCAAAGTGCCGTCTGTACATGGAGCACATTTCATATAAACAACAATAAACAATAAATTAATGAAAAGACTGTCGAAAGCACAAAAATAGTAAAACTAAAAATGAAGTCTGAGTCAAAAGCCAAAGAATACAAATGAGTTTTGAGACGAGTTTGAAAGATCGGCTTGCCGAATGTTCGGTGGGATGTCATTCCAAAGAGTCCTGTGTCAATAACAATAGTGTTTCTCTTCCACACTTCCCCCCAGAAAATTGAGAGGCTGAAAGGAAGTCTCCATCTTCTGGATGTAGTCAGCAAAAAGAAAAACAAGCACACTTTTTTTGTGGATTCCAAAAAAGAAGGTAATCATTCACAAATGTAACATCCTGAGTGCGAGAAAAAGCATTTTATTTGGGGGGGGGATTGAGTTTGCATAACGCCCTGTAGCCAAGTACTAATCCTATCCTAATGTCGACTGTTGATTTCCAGTGCAGTCGTTCGACTTGTCTGACCACCTGAACACCGTCCCCGAGCTGGTCGACCGTGTGTACAACAGGCCCACGGTAGACACGCTGAGCAAAGCGCACGTCTTGGGAGCCGTGCAGCCTTGCGCCCAAAAGGTCCGCGTCCGTCTCCAAGAAACCCGAGCCTCAAAACGAGAAAAATATCTCGCTGGGTGACGTCTCCGTGTTCTCCTTCCACTTGTGCGTTGCAGAAGCTGTCCAAGGAACGCATGCATGAGTACATGCGTCTGTCCCAACGCATCGACCGGGAGAAGAAATTGTTTGTCATCAGCCAGAAGCTTCAGATGCGCCAGGACCTCCAGGTCACCTATTGCCTGCATGAGAATCAAGACGGGATTCGCCTACCTTGCTAGATTGTTCTTTTTTTTTTTTTTTTTGGTCTACCTTTCTGTCACGTCAATCCCTGCTCTATTGCAGAAATAGGCCGTTTACAGCAATATATATTTTTTACACCTTTTTTCAAGAAATGTAATCTAAAACAGTAAAGGAAACATCAATACTGTCTTTAAGTCCACAATGATTGGCTAGTGCAGCGGTGTCCTAACAGAAAAACGGAAGGATGAAAGGGTCGCTTTAAAATTTGTCAACTCTCTGAAACGCGCTGAAGTCGCTCCAGAAAGCAATCCCATATCGTTTATGTTGTCTAGTTCATTTCATCAGCTCTCTGTTCAAGGTGGCAAGGCAAATAGTTGATGAATATTTTCCATGTTTCCTACAGGATAGAAACAAGAAGATCAAAGTGAAGAAGGAGACGACAAACGCTCCGGCCATCTACAAGTTTGAGACCAAGAGGAAACGCTGAGTTGAGACCAAGTTGACTCACGGTGGACCTTCTCCTTAGGCTCATTTTGTACATTCTTTTTTTTTTTTTTTTTTTTTTGTATGTGCCAAAATTAAATATTGAAAATTGAAATAACTCAAGTGTGATCGTTTTATCAGATTTAGGAATTGCATCTGAGAAAGAAAAAAGAAACCCGTGGAGGAGCGTTGAGGATGTAGCCGTCAGTTGTATTTTGTGGCGCTAGATGGCGTCGTTGCGCTGTGTGGCAATGACACGAATGAACACAACTTGAGATCCGTGCGCTTCATCGTATGAGATGGAAAAGTGCCACAAACGCAAAGTAACCGATTGATATATATTAGCGAGCACTCTCAGTATGATCAGAAACAGTTTACAGTACACCACGACACTGAAATCTGAATTATAATCGATCTCTCCTATTGGAGCTCATTCAATTGAATTGGATGACGTGTCAAGATGAAAAGACGAAGTTCTATCATAAAAAATAGATCCTGGAAAAAAAAAAGATCAGTGCTGTACTGTTTTCGACGGAAGGATATTGCTGCCGCACCAGGAACAACCCCCCCCTCCGAAACTTGTCATGTAAAAACGTAAAAATTACCGTGAAAAAAAAACGTGATACTTATGGAAAAACGGAACAATTATGTAAAAAAAAACGTGAAAATGATCATGTAAAAAAAAAAAAAAAAACGGAATAGAAACAGCAAAGCGCACACATTGATTTTATGGTTTAAGTCTTTGAAATGGCCAAACTGCCAAGTCCATCTTTTGAAATTCAGAATTTAAAAGAAAAAAAAAACGGTACGAAAGGCTAAAGAAAAAGTCAAACACAAAAATCTATCTTCTGGACTGTACCACACTCCCTGCGGCTGAACTCGCTTCCCCTCCCCACATAAAGGATTTGAACTTTCTTAGCAAGCCTCAGTCATGAACTTGATGAAGGATGAGGCCACACTGAAGGAATGCACATCAAAATCTTCAAAATCAGAGGGTCGCCGAATGCCAGCACTGCGTCCCGGCGAAGAGTCCCATGGCTTGAGAAAGGGGGTGGGCTATGCGAGACAATGAAAGGACAGCCTGAGCAGGAACAGTGGCGCGTCTGTGCGGGGAGAGATAGCGGGGGTCCGGAACTGCGCACATAGTGTTTTGACCTCCACCCCCTCGGTTTATGGAGGCCGGGCCCGAGGGTCTCGAGGGTCTCGATGCACGCACGCTCTCTCGGAGAGTGACGCGAGGAAGACATGGACGTCATTCACCCCGGAGACATGTCGCATTCACATCATTTGCCATTCAATCGAAAAGTTCAGAACGGCAATTATAAGGCAGCGACAGATGAAGAGTCGCTCAGATTTGATTCGAATTTGTGTTCGGTTTTACGTCACGTGTTTGATTGGCCTCTTGTTGCTGGGCAGACTTGAGAGGATTTGAGACAGGCCAAAAAAGGAATCGGCACAGAGTTGCGTACCGGAATGACTGTAGCCAGGTCGATATGCAGCCTTTTTTTTTTTCGTCATTCTGATTGATCTCTCATCGACTGTTTACACGCGATGTGATTTATGCGCCACTTCATTTAATCAGATTGTAAAATCAAGAGTGGCTCATGTCGTCTGGTCTCTGTTTGTTGGGAACGTCAAGGCATAACAAACAGAGACCGCAGTAAATGAAACACTCTTGAGCCAGCATGAATATAACGCCCGAGCTTTAAAAGATCCCAGCAACAGGAAGAAGAAGTTAGGAGCGACTTGGAAGCGCCGCCCGTTTATCGCATTCGGTCAGAACACACACAGTGCAGCTCCGTTGACGACGTCGCCTGCCTCTGACGTCACCACAATGGTAGCAGAACAAACTGAGATTCGACGACACGAACGACTCTCGAGCCTACATGATCTTCCATTTTACAGACGTGTGACACGCACATCGATGTAAACGTGATTGATCAAGATGGAGATGTGTTGCCTGTTTGTCTTAGCCTGTATTCAAGTCATAGCTGGATAAAAAAAAGTTACAAGTGGTTCAAAAAAAGCTCTCCAGTTGCAGAGCAGCTCTTAAGACCGCGACTGTTACTTAACAACAAGATACACGGGCAAATGTTATGTCAAGTGTTTTGTTCCAGCTGGAGCTGGTGTGAAAGCGCTGCAAAAAAAAAAAATGTGGTGGATTGGATGCAATGGTATACTCTCATCTCCAAAGGCCTTGTTTTGGATGACGTATAGGCCGGTTGATACAGCACACGCATCGCATCCATATCAGATTTACGTCCATTTATGAAAGAGTCCTTGGTCGGATTTGAAAAAAAAAAAAATGCAGTTGTACTGTTCAAGCTCAACATTTAAATCCAGGTTAACGCCGCGACTAATCAATCCCCCGATGACCCCGAGGATGACCAAGATGGCTGATGTGGGCTTCCAGCGTGTCTCGAAACGTGAGGGGGAGGACGATCCTGAAGGCTTGCCCTCCCCTCTTTTAACTTGACGCCGAGTGTCACGGGCCTTTTGAAGTAGCGGATCGAGCGGAGGTACCCAAGAGAAAGAGCGGGGGGTGGAGATGAGTACCGTTCCAGGGGCGAGACACGTGAAGGAAAATCTTGACAGAAGCCCTCGACGCGTGTTATGTATTTTTTCGGGAACGTTTGAATGCGTGTGTGTGCGTGCGTGTGTGTGTGCACTCGTGTGTGTTTAGTGCAAGGTTGGGGATCACCCAACCTTCTTTTAAAGAAAAAAAACAAAAACAAACTGGTTGCTAATGAGCCCTGGCTGGCGACAAGTACTCCAATTGATTAAATTTGCATGGGAGCCTAAATCATGATGGGGGCCCAGCACCCCACCCGCCCTGAAGCTATACACACACACACACACACACACACACACACACACACACACACACACACACACACACACACACACACACACACACACACACACACACACACACACACACACACACAGCACCCTGTGACTTGCCACGACACCTCCACATCAGGGGGTAACACCCTGCCGGGGTGAGGGGCAGCAGCAGGGGTGTGTGTGTGTGTGTGTGTGTGTGTGTGTGTGTGTGTGTGTGTGTGTACGTGTTTGTGCGTGTGTAGGCAGAGCGTGGAGTGCACCCATCTGCCCTACTATTACCGTCAGGCCATCATTTAGGTAGATGGGACCCACGCGTGCCTTGGCGAGGTGTTCATTAGGTTTTAACGAGGGGATGCGTCCTTGTCTCACAGCCTCTTCCTGTCGTTGTCTCTCTTTGATTGTGTCTGTGTGTTTATCATCCAGTGTGCTCGTTTTTATTAAATACCCCTTGAGAAGACAAGCAAGCACATTTGGTCACTCGAACAGTCGAAGTAGTATGTTGAGAAACACTGAAAAAGAATTACAATGGGGATCACGTACTACCGTGGTGTTGGAAACGACTCCTGCACAATGGTGAGACAGGTAAAAGAAGACCCGAAAATATATATGCCCTGATGACAGTGTGTGTATTTGAAATTTGGGAGTTCCTTCCTGTCCCTGCCGCCTCTCCCTGTCCATTCTCAGCAGTGGAACCCACAACCACGTGTTGCCTTGGAAACAGCATCGTAGGGGTGACTGACATGTTTTTGTTGTTGTTGTGGCTTTGGGGCCAATTCTGCCTAGCGACAAGTGACGGGGCTGAGAGACATTTTAAAAATGGCATTTAAAAAGAAATGCCCAGGAAACTGCCGTCTGTGGTGTCGATCATGTTGCCGAAGGATTTTGAGTGGTGTTTTGTATGCGTGTGCTGCATTTCTGCTCGGCAAGGTTTTGTGTGTGTGCGTGTGTGTGTGACTAGATGGGTGGCGGTGAGGGAGTCTGGGTTTTCGGTACAGTGCATGCATGGTTATCCCGTTTGATTGCAGTAATCATACGAGGGCGGGAGGGAGCGCGGGGTGTTAATCAGCGTTGGTTCGTCAGTGGCCTGATGAGGGCCACTGATTGTAATGCGATGCTGACGACGGCGGAGACAAACTGCCAAGAGAATCATTAGTGTGCCGCTGTTCACTTTTTGGGCGCTGTTGCCGGGCCTCTTTGGGAACACCGCCGCACCAGTGTAAACAAACAAGCACTTGTCCAGCAACTTGCGAGTTTTCATTTCAGTGGACACAATAAAATGGGCACACCTGGATGTGGTGCGCTGGTGTCAAGAAAAATGAAATCCACGAAAAAGTGGGCGCAGGAGGAGGCAAAGGTGATTCCGCGGTTTATCGGCTCATCTCGACAGGGTTGCATCCCCCCCGACCCCCCCTTTTTTTTTTTTTGTTGCAATGGAAGGAAGACGGGAGGGGGTGCGTTATGGAGACCATTATGGCTGGCTCATCAGCCAAGTCCCTACAAGGGCTGATACAAATTAATTAAGCTAATTAGATGCTGTGATTGCGGGTGTGATTACAGGGGCTGCAAAGGGGAGGGAGGGATGGGGCTCGTTTTTTTTTTTTTTTTTTTGCGCCGACAGCCAGGGCCGGGGCCACGATGATGATGATGATGATGAGCCGTGAGGTGCGGGAGAGCAGCCAAGATGCAGTGCATGGCTAATGAGGAGCGCTAGCTAGCTGAAACCAAGCCTTTCCTCCTCTCCCTCTCCTGACCGTTCATATTCCCCACCTTCTGTTTATTTTACATTTCTTATGCCGAACCATTCGACACAAAATGTTTCCCATTCACTTCATAATGGAAAACAGTTGCTTTTTGGGGTCGCATTTGACTGTTTGGCTTTTTCACAAATGCACCTGTTGCACGGTACAGTCGGGCAAGCACGCACATCACCACACAGTCGAAACACTGTCACACTCGGGAAGAGCAACGCTAAAATCTCCTTCGATTTGTATTGGGAAGACAAGCAAGGCATCCTTTCAAGGCGGAGCCAAAGGCAATTTTTTGTTTTCCTTCTCTTGCCGGCATCAGCAACTCTGCCGCTCCTGATGAGTTTGAGGAGTGACTCGAAGCGGTGCGCTGTCGGTCAGTCAAAGTTGCTCCCAAGTGCACTTGTGTGCCCGAGGTGCACGGCACCCCCTCGCCAATACGATGCTGTCATTCCACAGCCGACCTCTCGCACTGGCAAACGGCGTCGGTCGCAGGGCCGTGATCTATGAAAAAAGCCG